AAGATGCATCCGAAATCTTTATTTAGTTTTATTCAAAGATTCGGATTCATTTCAATTCGGAATGAAACGAATCTCACGTGACCATTGCCATGTGACCCCCTCATTAACCCTTTGTTAAAACAGTGACCCCTTATTTCCCCCTTACTGCACCACAACCCTCCCTTCATATTCCCATCCCCCGAAGCAGCGCGGCGGTACGGTGATGGAGTGGCGCACACACAGACATTTTGCACATCAAATCTGCAGAGGTTGGAAGGGCCCCACGGAGCTCCCAACACCCTTAAATCCCCCCGCCCCCCCGAACCTCTGCAGACTTTGAGCAGTCCATGGAGTGAGTATATTGCTTGGAGACAGGTCCGCTTTAATCCCCCCTTACCTTCTTAATTAGGTGGCCCCTGATTGGCTGGTGTGGGCACCTCTATACACCCGCGGAACTTCATAGACAGTCTGGAGAGGTTCCGCAGCAGCAGCGGAGGACGCCGTATCCTAGCAACCCGCCCCGATCACATGACCAGCTCTGTCTCCCCCCCCTCCATCCTTCCCCACTTGAGCTCAGATCATATGACAGGCTGGGAGCCCCGCCCACTGATCACTGGACTCGGGGAGCGGACATGGAGGTCTGTGCGGGGTCAGGTCTGCGGTGGGCTGTGCGGGGTCAGGTCTGCGGTGGGCTGTGCGGGGTCAGGTTTGCGGTGGGCTGTGCGGGGTCAGGTTTGCGGTGGGCTGTGCGGGGTCAGGTCTGCGGTGGTCTGTGTGGGGTCATCTCTGTGGTGGTCTGTGCGGGGTCAGGTTTGTGGTGGGCTGCGCAGGGTCAGCTCTGTGGTGGGCTGCGAAAGGTCAGCTCTGTGGTGGGCTGTGCGGGGTCAGGTTTGTGGTGGGCTGCGCAGGGTCAGCTCTGTGGTGGGCTGCGAAAGGTCAGCTCTGTGGTGGGCTGTGCGGGGTCAGGTTTGTGGTGGGCTGCGCAGGGTCAGCTCTGTGGTGGGCTGCGAAAGGTCAGCTCTGTGGTGGGCTGTGCGGGGTCAGGTTTGTGGTGGGCTGCGCAGGGTCAGCTCTGTGGTGGGCTGCGAAAGGTCAGCTCTGTGGTGGGCTGTGCGGGGTCAGGTTTGTGGTGGGCTGCGCAGGGTCAGCTCTGTGGTGGGCTGCGAAAGGTCAGCTCTGTGGTGGGCTGTGCGGGGTCAGGTTTGTGGTGGGCTGCGCAGGGTCAGCTCTGTGGTGGGCTGCGAAAGGTCAGCTCTGTGGTGGGCTGTGCGGGGTCAGGTTTGTGGTGGGCTGCGCAGGGTCAGCTCTGTGGTGGGCTGCGAAAGGTCAGCTCTGTGGTGGGCTGTGCGGGGTCAGGTTTGTGGTGGGCTGCGCAGGGTCAGCTCTGTGGTGGGCTGCGAAAGGTCAGCTCTGTGGTGGGCTGTGCGGGGTCAGGTTTGTGGTGGGCTGCGCAGGGTCAGCTCTGTGGTGGGCTGCGAAAGGTCAGCTCTGTGGTGGGCTGTGCGGGGTCAGGTTTGTGGTGGGCTGCGCAGGGTCAGCTCTGTGGTGGGCTGCGAAAGGTCAGCTCTGTGGTGGGCTGTGCGGGGTCAGGTTTGTGGTGGGCTGCGCAGGGTCAGCTCTGTGGTGGGCTGCGAAAGGTCAGCTCTGTGGTGGGCTGTGCGGGGTCAGGTTTGTGGTGGGCTGCGCAGGGTCAGCTCTGTGGTGGGCTGCGAAAGGTCAGCTCTGTGGTGGTCTGTGCGGGGTGTCAGGCTGAGATCCTTCACAGGCCACCACAGAGCCCGCACAGACCATGTGACCCCCCGGCTTCCCTGCCAGGCAGGTGACGCAAAATGTTTTAAGCAGGAAGGGGCGGGGGAAATTTAGATGGGGGAGGGGATGCCCGACTTTAGTCTTGCCTAGAGCAACACAGAACCGAAATACACCACGGGATATACATGGGTGAGATATTGGTAAGGGATGCTGTGTCACGGCTGGGAGGGGGAGCGGGGGGATTTCAATATGTCCGCCGGGGTTCAGCTTCAAATACGGTTTCAGACACTGACCTTGTCTCTTCCCTCAGGCGATCGTCTACATTCATTGGCTGCTGACAATATTGTGAGTATGATCGAGTCTTCGTTCATGAATAACAGAAGCGTGTGTGTGTCACGATGTGTACACGTATGCTCTATGTGTAGGATTTTGTACTGCGTGTACCATGTAAGGACACGTGTACACGGGGTCAGACCTCCTTAGTGGTGCCGCACAATGGTTGGGCCTTTTATCCCATTACTACCAGACGGATTGTACACCACACGGGCTCTGCAGTCTCTGCTAACATGAAACCCCTGCAATGCTCGTGGGATTCAGAGACCATGTGATCTGTGCTCAGGCTTCGGGTCACATGACGGATCTCGAGGAGGACAAGTTACAATGTAACTCTTCGCTGATGATGATGATGTCACTGGGGAACACTGACGTCACTCTATTGCTTCATATGTAACCTACCATGGGACCTTCTGATGCATCCCACCTGACTGTCCCTGGCCCCGCCCCCTTTCATTCATTGGACTTCAGTTCTTTCAATCGCAGAGGGTCAGCATCACATGACGGCGTTGCCTGTGGCAATCGATCTTAGGCTTTATCGCGCTGTGGAGTGCGGTCACTTCGGCGTTAGAATGGAACTCTTATCTGATATAGTTTTGGTTAGTTTGGGAAAGGGGAGAGATCTCCCCTCACTTCCTGTGCAGGCGACACAACAGGAAGTAAGAGGGATTCTCTCCAATGGGGACACTGACCTCCTATAATAACCTGACAAAACGCTAAAAAAGATTTAGTTGGAGTTTCCTAACTGGTGTCCCCGCTTAGAAGGCAGGTTGTACCTCCGGTCAGGGAGGGATTAATGGCAGAACGTTCTGGAACATGACACGCCCGTCTTCTGTATCTTGCAGCGCCTGTATCTACCCCTGGATGCCAAATGCCTATTATCTGGCGAATCTGACCGTCCTGGCCCTGGGCATCTGGGCCATCATCCAGAGAGACTCCATCGATGCCATTCTAATGGTAAGCAGGGCAGCCGGGACCCCTTGTGATGACGGGCTGGTGGTGGGCGGAGCTGGGAACCCGG